ATCCAAAATCCACCCTTCTGTGACTTAAGCGCATCCAATCTAGTCTTCCTTCCTGGAGCATTAGAAAACACGTCTCTGCCCTATTGCCTGGGACAACCCCTTCAGGTATTTAATAGGCATGACCATGTCACTCCCTGTGTCTTCTGTTCCCCATTTCTTTCAACCCTGTTTCAGAGGACTCATTTCCCAAACCCTCAGACATCTTTGCCACATCCCCTTAAAGTGTGGCATCCACATCCGGACACAGTGTTCCAAAGGAGGTCTGCTTAGTATGCAGCAAAGTGTAACTATTACTTCCAAGCAAGTGTCCTAACAGTCGAAAGAATGTGCCCTGGAAATGGCCTCTGGATGACAGCCTGCAGCATAACGGAAGAGGTATATCATCCACCCGGGAGAGAGCCTCCGTTGCCATGGGGAGCCTGCAGTCTGGCAAGAAAGAAAACCTAAGGGGCTCATGTTTGGTCTGCATCCCAAAGAGTTCCACTTGGCCTAACCTGGAAGGAAGGGAGACCAAGATGCAGGCAGCCGTCCCTCACTAGAATCCGTCTCCTACATGGCTCTGGGTTGCCAGTTCCTGCTTGGTTAAATCCCGGAGATCTGGGAGCGGTGCCTGGGGAGGAAGCTCAGCAGGGATGTGATGTCACAGAGTCTGCCCTCCTCCGGAGTGGCCATTTTCTCCAGGGAAGCCGCTCTATGTAACCTAGAGATCAGCTGTAATTCCATGAAGACAGTTCCAGAGGGTGGCTGTGTTTGGTAGACAGCAGGACATCTAGATTTGGGTCCAGTAGCAGCTCAGGGACCAACAAGATTTTCAGGGGATATAAGTTTTCAACAGTCAAAGCAAAGGGGGCCGATGAATGGAGCGTCCACTCATAGAAGCTGATACCCTGAAAATATTGTTGGTCTCTAAGCTGCTGCTGGACTCTAATCTAACTGTAATTCCAGGTGGCCTCCAGGCCCACCTGAAGGTGGGGAACCCTAGTGGGGGACAACTGTGTGGGGAAGATAATAAAGGTGATGGGGGGAAGGAGTCTGTATCTGTCGTTTGCAACGCTAATCCTAGCCCCCCCACCAGTGTTCCCTCTAAGCTGAGTTAGTGTGAGCTAGCTCACAGTTTTTTAGCCTCTGGCTCACAGATTTTTGTCTTAGCTCAGGAAGGATGGCTCCAGAGCAAACTAATTTATGTCACAGCCAAATCGCTCACTCATAACGTGAATGCCAGGAGCTCACAAAGTAGAATTTTTGCTCTCAAGACTCCACAGCTTAGAGGGAGCATTGCCCCCTCCCCTCCCCTATCTTTTGCACAGAAAGGAAGAGGCCCTCTTCCCCAGTACAACATACAGACCTAAATCAGTAGTTCTTCTGGTCTACACACTTGGGGAAAGTGTGACATACCAGGCACTGCCCAGCCCACACGGGCACACAGGCAGGATTTACTTTCGGAGCTGGGAGGGTACCTGGTAGGGCTCCCCCCACCCCAGACGTACTGTGGCCATAGTTAGGGTTTTTGCATAGGTCTCTGCACCATGCACCGTGTAAGCCGCTCAGAGCCCTTCGGGGGTGAGCGGGGTACAAATTGAAAGTATAAATAAATATATAAATAAATAAATTCCCTGGGAGACCAGTGTGGTTCTGCCCTCCTCTGAAGAAAGAAAAGACAGCTGTCAAAGAAGGAGAGTGACTCTGCCACACTGGCCTCCTTTTCCTTTGCTGTCGTGTTGGCTACAGGCAAGGCCAGCGCCCGCCTTGCACTGACACCACATGAACGCCTATTGGAATGCACCTTGTCTCCCGGCCCCTCCCAAGGCCTTATGTAAGGCCAGGAAGGGCGGGTTCTCTCGTTTTCAACAGCCTGTTGCAGCACCCGCTCGCCTCTCAGCGCCTCCCCCTCCAGCCGGCATCCACAGGGCTTGTGCTGTACATGTGGAAACACACGTGCACCAGCTACAAGAGGGGGTGTGGGGGCAGGCATGCGCATCACTGCTTAAGCACAACATGTGGGTGCTAGGGCAAACCTCTGGTTGCCACCATCCCAGTGGGAAGCTGACTGGGTCTGTTGCATTCTTGGCGAGAGAGAGAGAGAGAGAGATCGCTGCAGGTTGGCAAGCAGGCAGGTGCCAAGACCTCCGTGGTGAGTGTGCAGACATGTGACTCTTTGGCTGAATGCCTCCACTGGAGGCTCCCCACTCAGATTCCTCAAGAGACACCCACTCAGCAGTTCCCATGCAGGCGCTGCTGCAGAGAACACAAGGCAACAGGCTCCGTTGGAGAGAGAGAAGAACCCTTCTCTACAGCCTTCCCATAGCACCTTCTCCTAACAGGTGTTCCCCCTTTGGGTCACCTACAACCTTGAGAAAAAAATGACTTGCCTCTTCAACAGAGGCTTCACATGTAGAAATGGAGCAGGGTAAGGCTCACCACTGGGTAAAGAACATGCCACCAAGCCTCTGTTAAAGGGGCAGAGCCCCTTTCCTCCAGGCCCTTGGAAAACATTCTTTGCTGGGACCCCCCAAAGCAGCAACAACAGCAAGTTTCCCTTTTCTGAGAAAGAAGGAACTAGCTGCTCCTGCCCTTCTGAAGGAAGTTTCCCTTGCAGGGAGGATGGGACTCCCCCTCAAATGATAACTGGGGTGGGGAGACACCCGTCACCAATGTTCCCTCTAAGCTATGGAGCCCTGTGAGCAAAAATTCTACTTTGTGAGCTATTGGCATTAAAGTTGTGAGCAGGAGATTTGGCTGCTGCATAAATTAGTTTGCTCTGGAGCCCTCCTTCCTGAGCTAAGACAAAAATGTGTGAGCCAGAGGCTAAAAAACTGTGAGCTAGCTCACACTAACTTAGCTTAGAAGGAACCCTGCCCGTCACTTGTCACCCGCAGGGATCCTGTAGAGCCACGGAGGTCCTTGTAGGTCTACAGCACTGACCCCCCCCCTCCAACCCCCAGCATTTCAGCAGCCAGGACCCGGCACCCCAAGCCCACTGCTAAGACAGACCAGGCCATGGTTCCTCGTCCCCCTCCGAGAATCCCCAAGCCGATCGGGCCTTCTCAGCTTCAAGAGGTCGGGCACAGCCTCCCTGAGGGCAGTCCCCACTGCTGCCAGGATTCCCTAAAACTGGCACAGGCTCTTCTGCAAAGACGGGCATTGCACCAAAGAGGGGGGGGGGACTGTTTTGGCCATTTGAGCCTTTGTGGCTGGCAGTGAAGTCCACAGGGCCACTCCAGACCAGCTCTGCAACACAGCAGCCTCCCCCTCTCGATCCTTGCAGCTCTGGGTTTTGCAGCCCCCCCCAAAAAAAAGGTTGGGCCAATCCCATCCTCAGCCTGAAGATGAGATGAGGACCCCCCCCCCAGCCCTTCCACTCTCGCCGCTGCCTGCCTGCCTGCCCTCCGCTCGCCCTCAGGGCCTGATCCGGAGCAGTGCCCAAGCCGGGGCCCACCCACCTGTGGAAGAAGAGCAGGATGGAGAGCAGCGTCTGGTCGATGTTGCGGTTGCAGATGCCCTGGTTGAGGAGGTAGCAGGGGTCCCGCAGCACCGGCTCCAGGGAGTCCTGGCGCATGATGCGGCTCAGCTTGTCGGCGTTGAGGTTCTCGCACACCAGCTGCTCCCGCAGCTGCTGGAAGGGGCTGGCGCCGGGGCTGCCCGGGTTGTTGTTGCAGCCCAGGGGGCCCTCCTCCAGGCCGCTGCGGTTGGCCAGGTCGAGGCAGCAGCTGCAGCAGTCCAGCCCCACCGGCGAGCGGCACTCCTCCGAGGACGACGAGGACATCCTCGACCCGGCCAGGGTGGCGAAACTTTTGGCCCGGCCCGGCCGCCGGACCCCGGAGCGCTGCGCCCGCAGGTTGCTGGGCTGGCCGGCCGGCCGGCCGACCGACCGGAGCTGCAGAGCCGCGTGCAGAGCGCGGCAGCCGATGCCCTCTCCGCCGCGGGCAGTGCCGCTCCGAGACGCGCCGCCGGTTGCGCCCGGGCTCCGCTTCCAGGAAGCGCCTGGCCTCCGCTGCCCACCCGCCCGGCC